TAGGCGCTAGTGCCGCCACCTTGTAAAGAGTGTCGATCCCTTGCGTGCTTTTTCAGCCAAATCATGTACGTCCTAATTATTTTGACGTGGGATCCACAACCATTCTGGTTAGGATTTGTAAAACCCTATAAATACCCATCCAAGTTATTTTGGAGAGGGATTCCAAGGCGGGAGAGGCTGCTACTAAACTTTTATTTTCTTCTCCAACACTAAAGAATTATGTCAAAGAGTAATTACATTTTCAACAAAATTAAGGAGGATTTTAATTGAAAAAGATTTTAATTGAGGAGTTTGACTTATTATTTTATTTAGATTCCTTCATGGATTTTATTATTTAATTTTATTTTTGAGAGATTATCAATTATTTTTCAGATTTGAAACCCTGAAAATTATATTTATCAAATTTTATATAAAATTAGTCATGCTCTTTTTATGTGTGATTTGTTAAAATATAATTGATTGATTGATTTAATTTGCGGGTTGATCCTTTACTATAGTATTGTCGATTAGATATATTGTTACTCTCAGATAACTCGTAATGATAAATCAGTTTGTTCTTCATTGAAATTAATTTCTGTCAAAATAAATACATTAGTTATTATTATTGGTTTTCACAGTTAAATCTTTCAATTGTTTGTTTGGGATGTGAAACATGCAATTGAGTAATAAATAGAAATCAAAATTTATAACAGATAAACAAATTAATTGAGTGAACTCTAAAGTCTTGTTCGTCATAATATTGTTTTCAATCTTTTATAATTATCATTTTTTATTTAAATATTTTTATTCTTAATTTTAAAATTCATCTTTTAATTTAATTTTTCATTGTGATAACTCTTTTTGTTGATTTAATATAGATTCCTTGTAGATTCAACACCTAAAACTACGCTACAACAACTGCTTAGTCGAAGGGTATTAATTTTGAGGCGAGACATCAAAATTTGGCGTCGTTGCCGGGGAAGCCAGATTGACAATTAAAGTTTGAACATTCTTCACTTTTCTTTTATTTATTTTATTTGCTTTTCTTTTCTTTAGTTTATTTTACTTTCTTGCTTTTATTTTATTTTCTTCATTCAAAAAAACAAAAAGTAGATTAGGGTGTATGAATAAACCGAAAGATGAAAAAGGGAGATTTATTAAATTAGATCTACTATCCTTTCAGAAAGAAGAAGTCGAGTCTAATTCATCCTTTAATTCTGAAACCATGAGTCAAGACGGGGATCAATCTATTAGGACTTTGAAAGACTACTTGCACCCTACTAGAACAGCTACACCATCATGCATAATGTTTCCTCCTAATACACCACACTTTGAGTTCAAACCTAGAATGATTCAGCTTTTGCCTAGTTTCCATGGTTTAGAGAATGAAAATCCATATGTGCATGTTAGGGAATTTGAGGAGGTAGTAGCTACTTTTCATAGTCGAGCTAATACTATAGACACAGTTAGGTTAAAATTCTTTCCCTTCTCCTTGAAAGACAAAGCTAAAATTTGGTTATATTCTTTGAGACCGAGATCTATAGGTACATGGACAGAGATAACTCAAGCTTAAGCTTTCTTTAACAAGTACTTTCCGCACCATAAACTAATAATTTTAAAAGACAAATCTCCACATTTTCTCAAAAGGATAGTGAAACCTTATACCAAGCATGGGAGAGGTTTAAAGAATTACAAAACTTGTGTCCATATCATGGGTATGAAACTTGGAGGTTGGTTAGTTATTTCTATGAGGGTTTAACTACTAGGGAGTGTCAATTCATAGAGATGATGTGTAATGGAGAGTTTTTGCATAAGGACCCAGAAGAAACCATAGATTATTTAAATGAGTTAGCTGAAAAAGCTCACACTTGGACAGGACCCAATGCCACTGATAGTACTAGTAGGTCACGATCATCTAGGATTTACCACCTTAAGGAGGAAGATAACCTTAGAGTCCAATTGGAAGCTGCAACTAGGGAACTTGAGACATTAAAAATGAAAAATAATAAAGTCACCCACACAGTTGCAAGGGTAGAAGCTCAGGCTCCATGTTTTGTTTGTGGGGGATTGGATCATTTAGCTGAGGATTGCCCAACTTATGGTGAGATGAGAGGGGTGTATGAAGAACAATGTAATGCATTAGGAGTGGGTAGGGAACCTTTTTCACCCTATTCAGAAACATACAATTATTAGTTTACTAAAATTTTAGATTTTAAATTTTAATAATTATTAACCAAACTAAAGAAGATGGGTTTTTATTAGTTATTACAATTTTAATTGAAAAATATTTTTAAATTTTTTTTAATTCTTTAATTATTATCTTATTAATTTCAATCACTAAAAAATTAAAAATTACTAAATAAATAAATAATTTGGTAAAAAAATTGCTAGAAAACCTTTAAAAAAATCTAAAAGCCATTAAAATTCTATATAAAAGGTTTGTGGACTAAATTTTGTGGTTATACTTATCCTAATTATCGGTTTTTCAATTTTTAGACTTAACAACTAAAACTTAAAGCATTTAAAATTGATTCAATTTGATTTTTAATCAAATAAATCCAAAACCCAATTGAACCTTACTCATCAATTATAATTTCATCAGTTTTTAAATTTTTGTTATTGTAAATTTTTTGGCTTACCCCTCCATATTATAATTATTTAGATACCTATCTTCACGCATTGCAAACAAATCATGCAAAGAGAGTAAGCATCTCTTTCAGCTCATTTGATACTTGTTTAATTTACTTCTCACAATCAATGTAGGAGTCCTTGCATATTTATCTGAAGTCTATTTATCTTTATGCAGATTTTCTAAATCCGTTGTTTCTTATAATACTAATTAATAAACTATGGG